TATAGCAGAATGGACAACAAATGAATCGACGAGAGTGATACTCAAAAAGATAGTTGACGAACAAAACGATCAGTTATATCAGGTAAATTATTTCACGTGTAATGCAAATAGTATTTACTAATGTGTGTATCGCGCGTTTAACGACTGTATTTGTTTACTCAAACAGCTAACTAAGGAATACACGGAGATATTGACACCCGAGAATATTTGGATAATTGGTATTACTCAGGAGCCGTCTACTCGGGAATATTATTTAGTTTTCTACTACGACGTACATGCACTATTGGATAGATTTATACGAAATACTGAAAACGTAAAGTATATGCAATATGCCGACTTTGATGAAATTAAGGAGATCGGATCTGGTGGTTATGGAACAGTTTATACTACCAAATATAAAAAGTATTCAAAAGTAAAACGTATGCCACAAACTGTTGTACTCAAACGGTTTAAGAATTTTGATGAAATACCGGAATTATTTATTTCTGAGGTAAGCAATTGTTGATGTTATTAATTAGAGTAGATATTTAATTTGACGCTGTATTTATTTTATTTATAGTTCAAAAATCATGCCAAATGCACAAGTGAATATCCATTCCTTAAAATTTATGGAGCCACACAAGACCCAGAAACAAAAGAGTACATGATTGTTATGCAATATGCTAACAATGGTAGTCTTTTGTTTTATTTGGATCAAAACGTAAACAAATTGACATGGATGGATAAATTGCAGCATTTGAGACATATTGCATGGTATCTGAGAAGTATTCATGAAGTGGGTTTAGTACATTGTGATCTTCATGGCGGAAACATAGTTTTGGATGGTAGTAATCCATTCATATGCGATCTTGGTCTTTCTCAATCGGTGAATTCACGTCAACAAAATTCAACCATTCGAGGCGTTTTACCGTTTATTGCACCGGAAGTCTTTCATACTTGCAAATTTACTCAGGAATCAGATGTATATTCTTTTGGTATCATTATGTATTTGATTGCTATTGGTGAACCACCTTTTAGAGATAGGCAGTTTGATAGAAATTTAGCATGCGACATTATGGGCGGACTACGACCATCGATGCCTGATTCCGCACCAGAGGAATACAAGAAACTTGCAAAGCGGTGTTATGATGCTGATCCTGATAAGCGTCCAGATGCATTGACACTTGCGACTAATATTCACAAACTTATTGTAAGGTTGGAAAACGACAATTCTGACATATGGAATGCCGTTTATTATAATGATGTAAAACCTTTATCACGCCTCGAGAAGGAGAGTAAATATTCTAGTACACTCTTACCTACGGGAGATCTACCTAAACCAAGAAATAGCTACGATTTGGATTCAGCTGCAGGTAAGTTACGCATGTTGATATAAGTGAAGTCAATTTACAATTAACACTGTTCCATTTCTTATAATTTAGAGACTCAAATTCTTGAATAAAAAAAAATTCGCGGTTTATTTACGAGTTTTATTCAAGGGTTTACTCATCTTTCAATTAAATACGATACGCCTCAATGTCAATGTGGTTGAGTTAACAGGATTCCAAAATAAAATCATCTTTGCCAAGGTAGATTATTTGAAAATATAGAGTACATTATTTGTTACAAAGTAAATATTGAGAACCAATTATCTGAAGTTTATGAAACTGGTAATGAGCTTGACGCTAATCATTCCTGAATAATGCGTATTTACATTCAAGTTCGGTTCACTGAACAGTGAAACCAACTGGATGATGCGTTTCATGAATTGTTTTCATACCCAAACCAATTCTTTCTCAAATGATTCATGAAGTTAATGCAGTCGGAGATGTTCTTATTAACCGTGATCGGCCTTCGTTTTAAATAATGGTACAGTGACACCTCTATAAATGCAACTCCTATAAGTGCAATCCCCCTCTAAGTGAATAAGTGCAAACCCCTGTTTTCTGCAATTGCAATGGATTCGTGGTCCCGCCCTAATGGATTTATTTCTCAAAGTGCAACTCACATGATTACCGTAATGCGGAAAAATTATCAACACAATGTAGCAGTAGTAGTAGTAGTACAAAATCTGTTTCGAATACAGTATCAAATTTCAAACATCACAACATTATTTGTTATAGATCCAGTTTTATGTGCGAGAAAGAATTCTTTGTAAAGCATTGCTATTTTCTTTTTCAGTATTCCCGCTTTGATACAGCAGATTGATTATATTGTTACTAGATCTCGTTGTGAAAAGGAAGAATTCTTCGCTATTTTTTCAGTGTTTAAGTTAGAAACTGTTTGTTCATTTTACAATAGCTCTGAAACTAGGGAAGAGCTTCAGTTGTTTAACGTGGATATTTAAAAGCTGTTAATAGTTTGGAGAAATTCATTCGCAAAAAAAGGGTAAATTTGATGAAACAAAATAACATAATAATAACACAATTCTTAGTTAACAATTAGGGATATGTAGAAAAAGTTAGCTGGAAAGTTTTAATAAAGGAAAATCTGTAAATTGTTAAAATATCTTTCCTACATGGAAACCCTCCATAAATGCAAAACCCCCATAAATGCAATGCAGCACTCGGTCCCAAGGTGTTGCATTTAGAGGGGTGTCACTGTATTTAAAACCCAGAGCTCAAAATGAAGAAAATTCTGACACATTAGAATTCTAGCTTCACAAACAAAATTGCTTTCGATGGGAATACGGATTCACGGCTTTTGCATGTCGACATAAATAATATTCTATCTATCGCACTTCTTACTTACTATATTTTGTACATGTATATGTTATATAAAATATGAAATAACATGTGTTTTGTCTTCCAGAATCATTATAGACTTCACGTGTGCTAGACATAGGACATTAAACAAGAAGCTATGGTGTCATATGCAATGATAAATATCTACTACGCCTATTATATTAATAATTACACATCACAAACTACCGTATTAGTATAATATGAAACTAAAATCCAAACAATAGTCCAAATACAGTATTGTCGTACGTAAAAATCGTCACCCCAGATGTACCCATTTAACTTAAACCCCCGGGTGTACGTTAAGGAGACCCTATTTCAAAATATAATTAACACAAGAACTACCGAATGATAACGTTATTAAACCATACTCTCTGTAAAACTCAGAGATGTAATCAATAAATTACATCACGCTTACCTTCCAAAGAATAATCGAACACGCAACATTATCATTAGATTTGTCATTGTAGAGTCAAATTGAAACATATTCCCTACATACAATCAAGAGATACTGTATAATCAATAAATCATATTACACTTGTTTTCCAAAGAATAATCAAACATTGTAACATTGTCGTTATAGATATGTAAAAAGCAAAACAATCAATATGTCAACTGTGTGCCGTTCCGTTTAGCAGAGACAATTACAAAATTATGATAATATATCTGCATCGAACATCCTCCAACTAATAACAGTCACATGTCATATTTTTTCCTATGCAAACTCGTCTTATCTTGCAACCGTTCTCATGTAATAACAGGCCTAAACAAATCAAATCCAAAGAACCAAATCCAAAAGATTGAAATTACAACCCTGTCTTTCTCCATAGTCCGTTGTGACCGTTTTACTTTGTAAGAATGAGCCTACTACATTCGTGCTACGTCGATTGTTCTAGTTCTAGATAATTAGAAAAAAAAGGTAAAAAACGAATTTTTTAACACCGATGACTACGTATCTTCCATTTCCGCAAATATTTCTTATAATGATTCCTAGTTTAAATGACCACAATAAAAATCTTATCCAAATTCTACACAATCAAATTTCCTCTCACAACGATTCCTAAACACAAATGATCGTCTTGACAAAAATTCTATTGTTAACAAATAAAGTCTTATCCACATCTCTTTCGCTGCACAACCAAAACGATACTGTTCACATTTAAACTATTTAGCTCATCGCTCTCCTAACTTATCAAGTATACCAGAATAGTGAAAAATTACGTGAAAATTAATCTGATAACTTATACCATATTTCTATTATTCTTGTAAATATTTTTGTACCAGAAAATACAAAGAAAAAAATTACTATTTATTTCAATGCACCAAATTATACATCATATCCAATGATTCCTATGGCTTTCGCTACGCTTACCCTTTCATGCACTTTAATATAATAGTGATACTGAAAAATGTGCCGCTCTGTTCTCCCTTCACGCGCGCTGTACATCCGAAAAATCTAAAATTTTATCATACTTTCATCCACTCGATTCCAATGGTAGATTCTTAAACTTTACAAGCAAACCCATTACCATTCACTTCGATGTCTACATACCAAAAAATAACTCTGACTGGTTCGTAGTTGATGAAATCCTTGAATTAGCGGTGCTGTTATACGAAACTAGAAGACATGCCACTACATACAGTACAGTACGTATAAATTAGGTTATATTTTTTCAATTAAACAGTCATGTAACATCTATTTATTTCCATTCTACAGATCAAATCATCAAATGCCAGGAGTCTGCAACAAATGTACCTCTTGCTCGACTTGGTTACAAGCCATTGGCGTAATCAAATCTCCAGCCTAAATACGCAATAACGCGACTATATTCCCCATCCAAACATCAGATGAGACTAACAGACAAAGGGTTACAGTGCAAATGTCATGCAACAAGAAGCGACAGCAGTTGGCTGACCTTAAAGAACAGAATACGGCTCTAAAAGAAGAGAATGCTGCTCTGAGTGATAGACATGCTACTGCTCAGAGAAGAAAACGAGCGCCTGGTGTGCTGACATTAATAATAATAATTTCTATGTTTAATTTTAAGACATTATGAATTCTTCTTTTTATCATACCTTTTTTTTGTATATATTTTTTTGTTTCTTGTTTCATTTTGTTTATAATAATAACAAGGACATATTATAAAGTACGTGCTGTATGTGTTTTAAATTGTTCTTTCGCTGTTATAAGTAAATCCCATACGAATATCTTATTTCCTTGCGTTTAGTGATATTGACAAAAACAATGACATGAATGCAATTTGTTTCCTGACACACGTATAAACATGCTAAATAACACACATATAATCAATTGTATTAAAATAAAATAGATTATTTTAAAAATTCAATATCATTGTCAGGATCGAAACCTAAACAGGACATGATTTCCGCTCACTCAATGGTACCTCCGATTCTGCGCAGTGCAGCTAGGTGACAGCACCAACCAAAATTAGGCATATCGAAATTTCAGGACAAAACACAAAATATCCCCATCTATCCAAAAATCAGGCCAGACAGTTTAGTGAAACGATAATTAGTTATAAATACGACGTAGTCGATAGCTAAAAATCGTCTTTCAGATCAGAATCTTCAATACAAATCATACCTTCAGCAAGACGTCGCTATTGATAGTTCTTTATTCTAATAAAAATCCGATTCAATTATAAATATTATTATTTCGTTTATTCCCTGATAAAAGATACTTAGCGTCGTTGGCGAAGTGTAAAACGCTTTTCCCATCATCGGCGAATAGGATTAATACTTGCTAATTAATTCTATTTAGTACTTTTGCATTCAGGATTATTGTTTAATTTTTACTAGTAGTTTTAGATAAGATAAATTCCCCGAACCGATAGGCTTTGAGACAAGTAATTAGAATCGTTAGTATAAATCCTCGTTTAAAGGTCACTAATTGTATCGATATTTAGTTGGAAGTAGGAAGAGCAAAAGCTCCCGTCGGAATCCCAAGGCTAGTGCGCCATCGCTCTCCCATGTGTAAGCTAGCTCGACATTATACAGATAAAAATCAGCAAATGTCTGTAGAAGAGTCTAAATAAAACCAATTCATTTCCCCAATCATTAGCACGCATCCGAAAACTTATTCAGCATCTGCTCCATCTTCTTCCTCTAGACTGAGATCAAAGAATTGACGACAGTTAGTTTCTGTTATCTTTAATACTAAAAAAACTCGTGTAAAAACTTACGTTGTTTGACTCAATCTCAATCATCCACACCAAAATATCTTTTATCGTTCTCAATTCGTTTGAATACAATCCAAGTTCTGGTGATAATTCATAAGTTACATTTGTGGAAAATGAGGGAAGCCTTCTTGCTGTTGGTGAAAGTAAATGACTCGATGAAGCTAAGAAAAGTATCAAAAGTCAAGTTAAACTAAATCTGTATTTATCATCACACGCCGCCATA